AGCAGCCGGGCGGTAAAGTAGCAGGGGGGGTTTCGCTCCCCAAGGGTGAGTGTGCGGCTGCTACATGTGAAGAGAGTCACTTTTCGTCGGGAGAGAGCAGCTTGCTGCTTTAGGGTGATGGGTGTGGGGAGGGGGGAGCCCATGTAAGCGCGCTGTGGCTCCGTTCTATATCAGCACAGGGGCGGGGGCACATAAGGAATGGCGGCAACGGGTCCTGAAAATGGAGGCTGCTCGTAGTTCAAACTGAGTTGTGGCTTAAGAGCTGAATGTTCCTCCGACGTGTTTATATGACTCGGTTTGCGCTCGGTTTTTTAAGGCTTGTTCTTTTAGTTTTGTGACTCGGACGTGTTAGTGATATTTCCATGTCTTGAAATGCTTTTTAGACGAAGGGTACCTCGTCGTTTGGTAAGCGACGAAATAAGACACATACCCTGTGTCGTCGATGTGGGTCCAAGGCATACCATCTGCAAAAGTCGACCTGTGGGAAATGTGGTTACCCTGCTAAGCGTAAGAGAAAGTGTAAGTAACAAACTTTTAACTGGCTCTAGTTTAAAAAATCGTGTTTCTTCTTCAGTAGTTGGACTTGTTTTCCAGTCAAGGAGGAAAACTTTTTGCAGTTTCATTTTGCATTTTGGAGCTTTGTTGAAGTTAACGATGATTTAACTATATGCCAGCTAATCTGCAGTATTACTCCATAGAAAATGATTTAAATTATAGTTTTTGGGGTTTTTTTGTCAGCTTGAATAATTGTACCATACAAATGTAAGATGCAACCAAAATTATTTGGTACAGTTAAATAACAGTGACTTACGTATTTTAGATAACTGGAGTGCAAAGGCCAAAAGACGCAACACCACTGGTACTGGTCGCATGAGGCACCTGAAAAAGGTCTACCGTCGGTTCAGGTATAACGCTTTATTGCCATCTAGCATGCTGTGAAATCCTGCATAGACACTATTTAATGACAAAATTCGCCACTCGAAGTTAACATTTTAATTTTGTTTTAGTACCACTTAATGGAGTACAGTCTTCTTAAATATGTCATGAAATAATGTGCATTGTATAGTTGTCTGCATTTTATCCTCCCTTGAGGAGAAAAAAACTTTTCTGGTAAGACAAAAGATGTGCAAAAAGTTCCAGTGTTTATAGTGAATGAAGGTAGTATAGGACGTATATGTTATTGTAGTAAGAAGCTCACTTTTAAAAATTATTTGTGTGGTATTTTGTTCATTTGTGATTCATTTAAATAGATGGTTACACCAAAAGGTTTATTGAGATAAGTCTCAAAATGCACTCCAGTCCCCATTTGCTCACTCAGAAAAAAGTTCAGGACAGGAATAACGTCTCGTCCCTCTTTATTTAGAGTTCAGTCAGCATTAATTAGTTATTACATCAGATCTTGAGTTGCAAGTTGAGTTAAGGTGAGTTGTACTTGGGAGGTATTGGGGGTGTTATATGATTCCCATTTACTATGAATCCCATGGAATTCTGTAGCTTCTGGTCCACGGCACAAGCATGCTATATTAAAGGTATCATGTAATTCAGGAGTGATGTCATCAAAATGTAGATTGGTTTTATTAGCAAAAGGTAAGAGATTTTTAAGTCTCAGTTGTGGGTGTGGTTGAGGGATCAATTTGTTTTGGTTGGCTCATTCTTTTCCAGTTGCAGCCATAAAACACCTTCCAGTTTGCAGCTGTTGCTTGCTTTCCACCTGAGTGTTGCTCAGTGAGAAATGTCATCCAAAATCAAGCTCAGGGCTGAAGAGTGTGGTTGGAGTCATAGAGGATTTTTGTAAGAAATAGACTTCAGAAACAGGACCTCTTTAGCCACATTAGGAGTGTGTACTAAGATGTGCTTTCAGTAGATGAGCTATATTTGCAGGGTTCACTGAGGTAATGAAATCTTCCAGTTTCAAGAGGTCAGATTTACTTCAGCAGACAAGAATGAAAACCATACAGCTTATTCAAAACAATTTTTAATAATGTGTTTTTTTTAAAAAAGGTCTGAACGGGTGAACTCTGTTGTGATTTCAGTGCATTACTGAGATAAATTGAAAAAAGCTAGTGAGCTTCATGTAAAACATGAGTGTCAGAAAATAATCTGGAGCAGGAATCAACTTTTTAAAAAGTAGTAACCATATTTCTATTTGCAGGAATGGATTCCGTGAGGGAACCACACCGAAGCCCAAGAGAGCAGCTGTTGCAGCCTCCAGTTCATCTTAAAGACTCATCTATTTGTTAAAATAAATGGTCTTAACCAGAAAATCTGTCACCTTTTTTTACATACTTTTACATACTCACTGCAATGTAGTATTCATGAAAATACATAATTACTTTTAACACAAATTCTGAACTGATTCATTTAAAACAATCCTTTAATTGAGTCTTCATTAGGTAGTATCTTTGTCTTGAAAACGACCGTAATCTCTGCACTGAACTGAAAAAAAAGCTTGTATGTATTACTCAAAGGAGGTCTGCAGGTAGAGAGGTGGAATATTGGTACTGTGGATTTGCCCTGTGTTCTTCTGATCTCAGTATGCTGTAGCACAGAGAGCCCGAATTTTGTTTTGAAGATAGTAACTATAATAGTAGTTACTGTGTAACTATAGTTATGTGCTGTGCTGGGAGGCGTTAGAGAGGGATTTTCAGTGCTGTTCTTTTCTCACTGCTCTGTGGTACTTGAAAGCCTACAGAGGTATTACTTACTGTGTGCATCGCTACTGCTTGGGCAAAAAGAAACTCACAAGTGTGGAGCTTGTGTACTGCAGATACAGGGGTTTGGCGATCTGCTGTGAGTAGGACAAAATTGCCTGAATGGCCTGATGGGGTTGGTATGGAAAGCTTGATACACAGATCTGAGTTAATAGTGTTTTGTAAATAGTAATACCAGACAGTGAGTCGCTTTGACTTACATAAAGATTATAGATAAATTAATTTGTACCCTGCATTGTGTGTTACTGGCATTCAAACTTGCACTGAGAAAGAGATTATAAGGTGCTGCTATGCCAGTTTGGGGAATTGCAGTAGTTACTGTCAGGGTTTAGAGGACTTTCAGATTGCCTCACAGAGACAATACTAGAAACTAAAAAGCTTGAGATGCTTTAAGCTTCTGAGGCTGTTCTCACTGCTCTTAGTTTTGTCATGAACTTCAAGAAGCAGAGTATTGCTTTGTCTCTGTATGATCAGCAGTTACTATATCACCTTCAAAATCACAGAAAGTTTCAGCCAGGTGAAGTTGGAGTGCCTGACTGCATTTTCCTATGTTTTAAAATGGAGTTAGAATTTTTGAATAATCCAGCTTATCAACTTTGGCTGTTTCTAAACCAGAAATAATTTGCTGCTGTTCTGTAGCATGTAACAAATAGACTCTACTTGCTCTAGATTCAACTGGTCCATTTGAGAAAGTTGGAATGTTAAGTGGTAGTGATACTCTTAAAATACACAGTGCACAGTACTGGCCATGTGTTCCCAGGGCTAAGGAGTGCCCCTGAAATGTTTTTGGTGATGTTAGGGAAATACATGTAGGGAGGAAGTAATCATAATTGTCCTCATTCTCTGAGAATAAACTCAAGACCATTATAAAAGCAGGCCACAGGATTCTAAGGAAAGGCTCTTTTCAGTGATGTTGGATTGGTGGTATGGCAGGTATTCCAACTATGGGTGGGAGTGAAAACCTTTGCTTGACAGGTCTTAGGTGATCTTTCTGTAGCGTGGGGTTGTGCTCTGAACAACCTGTTTGACCTGCAGACATGATAAAGCACTGTAAGGGCAAGTGCTTAGCTGCTTGCTGTTACCTATTAGCTTCTCATGAGTTGTGCTCCTGGAAAATGACCATTAGTATAACAAGCAATACACCATGGTAGCAGTGATTGAAATTTCCAAAGACTTGAAGTAACTGAAACCCTTTATTTCAGAAAGAATTTTGCTTTCATCAAGAATGAATTTTATGGACAAGAATTTTGACAGCTGTTTTTAATTGTTTTAAAATTCTTGGTGAGGGGCAGGAAATCAGTTTTTTGTGGGTTTTTTTGTCCTGTTCAGAAAGGATTGTGTACTTGTGTTAGTTATATTTGCATTGTACAGGAAGTAGATTTTGATGCTCTTCTGTTCTTTGTAGTGTGTTGTTAAATATTGAAAGGCTGCTTTGCTGGTTGCCCAGTGTATAATCTTTTGTTGAAATCTCATTAAGCATTTTAACTTGAGTTATATCTATTGAACCTCTACATAATGCTTACTGTATACTTTATGTATACAGTAATATTGTCATACCCCATCTGTAAAGTATGATTTTTGCATCCTTCAGGCTGATAGGTGGTGTAGTCCAAATTACTTCAGAAATTACATGTCGACGGAAGGAGACCAGGACATCAGGTTGATCATCACAGGCCCAATTTTATTGATCAGCACAGCGGGTTAAATACAGTTCGTAATTAACTTCATGCATATTGCAAAAGTTGAGCTCAGGATTGGTTAGTTACATATCAGCAGTTACACCTACTT